TGCAGTTCAGCAATTATCATGTTAGATCGCTGTATGAACCTTTTCATGTAAAAAAAAATGTCAGTGTTAATTCCTTATCATAATCCAACGACATATTGTAGAGACACCTTATATTGTATTCACGCATTAGTTTCTAGCGTTGCGCGCTCTCGGAGAATCAAAAGAGTCGGAAGTGTTAATGGACTAAAGATTCAGGATTTAAGAGACTTTAACACTATATATTCATTCAAAACCTTAAGGTATTGGGAGCGTAGATTATTGATTATTTCTCTTATATATCCAAGATTTCTTCCATTTTTAACCTAGTAAAAAGAAAATCACTTCCAAAAATAACTAACAGGATGTTTGTGATAGTTTTCATCAGGTAAAGTGGGAAGTTGAATGTATGTGTTTAACATTATCTTGTGATGAGAATACTGATGCGGATCTTCTTCATCCCCACATTTCTTTAATCATAAAATAAAATATCTCTGAAATAGTGAGCCACAGTTTCAATCCTTGTTGGATTCCTCAACTCAATCAACACATAAATTAGACAGTTGTTCAACCTTAGGGTTTTCATTCACTCACCTTATCTAGTCTTTCAATATCCCAAACTGTTGTTATCTTCAACCACCAACACTCATTCTTTAGCCAATACAGTGCAAATAGTAGGAACTGTAGCACTACATAGAACACAGCTTGCATGCATATACAAAAATTAATGATTGTGTGTGAAATACTATCAATTATTTTTTAGTATTATCTGTGCAAACAGAACTGAAAAACCTTATTAGCAGCATTTAACATCTTTTCATTGAATTGACTTTTGAGTTTTTGGTATTTGGGACAAACATGTTTGCAGTAAACAGATGAAATTCTAAACAAACCCTGGTAAAGTCAGAGTCTCACACAAGTTGCAGTGTTAAAATATATTTCTCAATCAGAGTAAGAATAGGGATAGGGTTAGGGTTTTTTTCATGGTCAGTTTGATCAGTTACTGGAGAAAAGTAACAGTAAATTGAAGCCTTTCTTCTTTCAAAAGAAGAGACGTACGGGCCCCCACACTTCACTTTAATAATCTGAATTTCTGAAATTTGATTGATCTGAAAATCCCAAAATGGTGTTATTTTCTCTCATAATTGGTAAATATTGAGTGATTAGTGAATTTGAAAGTGGTTCTTGGATAAATCATTACAGTCTCTGTATATTAAAGAACGGAGTCATTGAATCCTCGCTTTAACTTTTGAAATATATTAGAGACTATTAACTCACACCTGGTTTTAAATTGTGATAGTAATAAAGCTTGACATTTGGAAAAAGAATTTAGTTTGTAACAAACATAACACTTGATTTTACAAATAACTAATCAATTTTAATTAATTAAAAAGTAAAAATATAATATTTTCTCTTTTTCATAATCACAATCAATCCAATTTAGAAATAAATTAAATTTTAAATAAATTTAATATTTTTTCTCTTCTTTATTAGTTGTTAGTAACAATAAAGATTTAAGTTCCTATTTATGCAATTTTTTCTCGATATTCGATTTTGTCATCGACTAATATAAGGGTATTAATTTTTTTCCTCTTAAAGCTTAGTATTTTGTCTAAGAGATCAACTTCATTGTCCACTTGCGGAGGTTTATTTAAAAATAGAGTGAAATTCTATATGGACTCTTCGCATGGAGAGAATTTTAAATTTATTTTAAATTTAACTTGTTTTTTAGTTAGATTAATGGGGTGATTGTGATAATGAAAGAAAACAATAATTTTATTTTTAGTTTTTAATTAATAAAAAAATTATAATTCAGTGTATATAAAACTATTTATTATGATTATTTTCATCTAAGAATTTTTAATCACCATCTCCGCAATGAAATTTGTAATTGTAATTTAAATTAAAATTAGATTTAATTGAAATACATTGACAAATGACAACTAATAGTTTAAATGGATTTTATACTATAAATTAATTATAAACGTACGATGTAAAAAAAAATTGACTTTTATTTTAATAATTTATAAATTTATACAAACGGATAATAATGATGACTTTTTCCATGACCGGTACATTGTAATTATTCCCATTAAAATTACCATATCTGACCACATTGAAAACCACATCATCCATTTTTATTCATGTTTATTCACTTCTTCTCTTCAAAAATGAAATTTTAGAATCACAAAATAGAGTACTAAAATAAGTGCTTTTTTAATATAATTTTTTTTCCTAAAATTGATGTCATTTTACATTTTCAATATAACATTAATTAATATTTATCAATTCTACCTCTAATTAGTTATGTTTGCATTTCTCTCAAATTATTAAATTTTACTTTACATTTATGACAATGAATAAATAGCTAATAATAATTAAAGATAGTTTTGTAAAATCTTTACATTTATTTTTTATTTATTATTATTTTTAATTTGTGTGTAATAATCTTTAAAAACTTCTATATTGAGACGGATATATATATATATATATATATATATATATATATATATATATATATATATATATATATATATATATATATATATATATATATATATATATATATATATATATATATATAAATATATATATATTTAAGTATTAACACCATAATAGCTACGTTTGCAGCAATAATCGCAACCGTAAGTTAAAATTATTATTTATATTATTAATTTGAAATTAATCAATAAAGATAGACGTATAACCCAAATACAAAATTTGTGTGAAAGAATGTTGAATTAAGTGTTAATGTTAATTTTTGAGATCGATTTTAAATGAATAAAATGTTAAATTTATAAGAGAGGAAATTATATCTTAATTTTTTCTTCAAGTTTTTAGTGAAGATGTCTAACATCCCTCTCTTATGATTCTATAGCTAGTATTGTTGCTTCTGAACTTATCACCCACATCAAATCACTCCATGGTCTTTATTTTTTATTTGGCTTTTTTATTCAAATCATAGATAGTATTCATGTGTGTTTGCAATATAATATCAGAACAAGTATAAAGAAGAAAATGTTGAAAGGCTATTCTGTCAGAGACTTCACTACTTGTCAACAAAGCACAAACACTGTACATGTAACATTCAGAGTTCACGGTAATAAAAAGGCAGAACCTACCTCTTCCAACAGTACACACAAAAGAATATGGGTTTTGTTATGTATGACAGTATGAGGATAAATTACACAAGCAATCCTCTATTGATCCATATGTACTCCTCCAATTCATCACCCTTATTTTTTCAACTCTATAAGATAAGATTAGGCTTATCGCTTTATTCGACATGTGTTGAAGGCTTATCGTTTTATTCGATATTATGATACATGAGTACGATAACAGTGTTAATATATTCAAACAAGTGTTTTGAAAAGGTTGGCAGATATGGTGCTATATGATGCAATTGAGGCTAGTTTAGTAATATGTGAGACTTCTGGTTAGGATGGTATCAGAACCTGGCCCGAGGTTGCATATTGTAGGAACATAAGAATGAGAGTGACTAAGAGAGATAACCAGTTAAATACCGAAATATTTGAACTAAACATTCAATTTATTATTACTACTTCTTCATCGTTTTTTAAACTCGGTAAAAAGATCAATTCTCATAAAATAAAAAAATTTATTGAGTATTTTCATGTTTCAGAAGATGTTCAAATTTCTGAAACAATACCCTCTCTATTAAGTTCGAACAACATCTTTAAAAGATAAAGAGGTGTTACCGGATCCATCCAAAATCTTATCTCTACAAACTGCCCTCATATGAAAGAATATGTCTAGTCATCTCGACTTACTAGTGTAGCCTAAGAGCTACGAGCCAGGAGTAGTACGTAGATTTGGAGATTCTTCCAGACAATGATGATCCATCCAAAAATCTTATCTCTACAAACTGCCCTCATATGAAAGAATATGTCTAGTCATCTCGACTTACTAGTGTAGCCTAAGAGCTACGAGCCAGGAGTAGTACGTAGATTTGAAGATTCTTCCAGACAATGATGATCCAACCAGTTCTCAAAGAATATTGATGTTCTATCTATGTTGTTACAACATAGGGAAAATCCCTCTATACTGATAAGATATATGGTCATATCATATGGGATGTTGATCCAACAAGATGTGATCCATATTGTGATTGTTGGATGCACGATGATGACATCGACCAAGATACACTACTACAAAAAAGTTTTTTAATAGCGTTTTTTTTTGTTTTTTAATACCGCTATTAATCAAGGCGCTATTGTAAAACAAAATTTTTAATATCGCTTTAAAAGCGCTATTATAGTTCTGGTAATTAATAGCGCTTTTTCAAAAGCGCTATTATAGGACCTGTATTTAATAGCGCTTTTACAAAACCGCTATTATAAGTCACATATTTAATAGCGCTTTCAAACAAAGCGCTATTATAGCACCGATAATTTGCTTTAATTTTGATAGCACTTTCAAACAAAGCGCTATTATAGTACACATATTTAATAGCGCTTTCCAATAAAACGCTATTATAAGACACATATTTAATAGCACTTTCAAACAAAGCGCTATTATAATCCACATATTCGATAGCACTTCCAAACAAAGCGCTATTGAAATGCCGGTAAATTGCTTTAATTTTGATAGCACTTTCTAACAAAGCGCTATTATAGCACGCTCTCTTCAAAACGCTATTCTAATACACTTTTTTTTACACCAAATCATTATATATATATATATATATATATATATATATATATATATATATATATATATATATATATATATATATATATATATATATATATATATATATGGCATTTGCATTTTACCAACATTAGAATTCATAAAATAATTATAACTAAGTAGCTAAAATACTTGAAATTAAAATAATAATGGCAAATGTGATACCATTAATTTGACTTAAGAGTACTTCAAACTAAAATATTTTATAAACACAACTAAAGTATTTTGTCAGGTAGTTATTAATTTGGCTAAGAGTACTTCAAACCAAATTCCAAACAAAAAGTACAATCACTTAGCTAGGCATATTCTCTAAACTAATGGAAAAAACATCTAAAAAAACAAGAAAAGGACAACAAAAACAAGGAATCGAGCACGCTACCAATGTATGCTTGCAAGTATTCCACCCTTGATACATCGTCGAGTGATGCATTGCTTAGTGTCCTTTGGCCTAAAAAGACAAGCATTATGAATGGAAAACACTTGAAAATCATCATATGCAACAACATAGTGATAAAGTTATTTGGCAAGTATTCAATATCAATTAAGATCCAAAGACGATTTCTTAAAAGAGACTCGTTGAAATCAATGTAATCATGAATGAAGGGTAAACATACCATTTTCATGAATGAACATAGGTGGATTGCCATAAAGGGTCTTGAATGTTTCCAGCACTTCTTGTAAAGCCCGTGGTGCCATAGGGTACTGAGTCAAGTCAAGCAAGATAGTTGTATAGAAAATTAATCTAGTGATTGAACCAATTATTTATTAAGATGATAATTGTAATTAGTTTTTCAACCCTTACCTCTGCATCTCTAAGTATATCCTATGTAGCTGTAAAACCATAGAAAACAAGGAATGAATGATTCATTTTGCTCCACCAATAATTCAACAAGTGATAGACATCGTTGTGTGCACTTATTAAAAGGATTCAGATGCCAAATGATGTTCAGTTCAACAAGTTGAAAACATCCAAATCATAATGAAAAAGATGAAGTGAATGCAATTAGTACAGCAAGTTTATATAGCTTTAGTCGTTAAAATCCACTGTGCTTAAACATAAGTACAACAAATACCTAGTTTTGCACCCGAGTCTGCACTGAAATCTCTTAGTTTTTTCTTCAGGGCATCAGAATTGTCTGATGCATTAAATTTGCTGTAGTGAATTATGCCAATAAAGTCGTAGGAGCCCTTAACTTGTTCAGACTCACGAACTGTGAATGCCGGTATTCTTGCGCCTGCAGTTTCTTTCATCAAATTAGGATAGTCTCCGTGCAATAAGGGTTCCATAAACCTGTGATAAAATAGGCTTATAAGACTTAAATGTTTAAAGTTACAACAGAAAATGTTACAACCAGTTTTAATGTCGGTAACTCACCAACCCAACAAAAATGTACGGATTCGTTCACATGCTGCCCTATCTTTCTCTGTATTTGTCTGAGGAACTGTCCCAAATGTATATAGAGAGATACCAACAAATCCATGTTGTTGCTCCTGCAATGTAATTAGTCTCTATGGAATCATGAATATTACTTGCCAAAAAAGCTAATATTACAAAATATTAGGCAATATATACCCTGTACTTTCTTCTATACAATCTCACAACTGAAGAATGAGCTAACAGTATATGATGTACAACGAGGTACGGTTCAAATGTTGAGTTTCCCTTAGAGCTTGTTATAACACAAAACAGAGGAGAACATCGTTGAGGTGGGGTAATTCCCTGATCATAACTACCCATGGCAAAAATATTGGGCTCGTTCACAGTTGTCCAATATTTGACTCTATCTCCAAACTCTCTAAAACACACGTCTGCATAGTTCGTGAAGTCTTTTCTGCATTGACATTCAAAACATAATTCTCAGTTCTGTCAAAAAAAAGTTGCAATCTAAGAACATTTCTTCTTAAGCACAATAAATACATTTTTTAGAATAAGAAATCTTCACAGGATTGAAGCAAGGAACATACATGACATCTCGACTATAATTAAGGCGTATACAGGAAAATGTTTTTCGGGAAAGGTCAACCGCGGTTATGACATCCTCTAAGTTGCTCTTCATTAGGACAATATCAGCTGCCTCAATAGCAATGTCTGTGCCAGTGCCTATTGCCATTCCAACGTCTGTTGCTACAAGTGCAGGTGAATCATTGATGCCATCCCCTACCATAGCCACTGTGTACCCAGAAGCCTGAAAAATAAACGGAAACGATAAGTGATTTATCCCTCAAACTTTTATAAATATGTATTTCCTAAACCTGTTAAGAATCAATATAAGTATCACAATATTTTACAACACCTGCAAGTTTTTCACTTTATCTGCTTTCTAATCAGGTTTCTGATGCGTGTTTTTCGCAAGTGTACGAATCACGTCAAAGTAATATAAAAGATTATCGAATCCACAGAGACCAAGTGTCAATCTATCGTACCTGTTGTTATGGTGTTTATCTAAGGCAACTATTTTTAAGGGTTTTAGTAAGGGTGCAATGGTAAATAAAATTATAATTTTAAATAATAAATAAAAGACAGGCTCGAATGTAATTCACGTAATCAATGATAATCCAGTACTTGTTAATGGAACTACTTATGGGCAATGTTTTCTCCTTTGAAAAGAACTAATTTAACAGGAACTGTCGCTTTCGCGTATTCAGAACCGAGTTGTACTCTCTAATCAACCCCTCCTATTGTCACGGATAAAAAGGTGCGTACTGCGTTAGAGTAGTAAACCTATTTTTAAGAAATATAGTTTCTTAACAAAGTTGAAAAGTATTTTACCCTGGACTTCTTAGCAAAAAGAGGTTCTTATGAACCAGACTCTAAATCTCATAACGCGTCCGAAAATCGTTTTAAAATCTCTTTTCTTTTTAATCTAAAAACTCCTAATGAACTATACAAAGCGCTTTTGGCTGTTTTTGAAATAGTTAAAAACAATTACTTGAATTGAAAGATAAAATAGCCCTTAGGTGTTTCCACGAACAATTATACTGATTACTGGTTTAATTACGATCCTTACATTCTAACCTTTATGGGATTAGTTAGACATGATAAAGTAAATATTCTTTTTATAGTTTTTCATATGAGTAATTTAAAGCGAGTGCGGGAAGTAAACAAAGTAAATGTGCGAGTGCGGGAAATAAACAAAGTAAATGTGCGAGTGCGGGAAATAAACAAAGTAAATGTGCGAGTGCGGGAAATAAACAAAGTAAAGTGCGAGAAAATAAATAAAAGTAAAGCAATGCGGAAAAATAAAATACTAACTGGAATTAAAATGGCGGCAGGATTAACTTCCTCCAGAGTGCTCCAAAACTCGAACCACAGACAGATTACAGACTCGATCACTCGATTGCAGAGGCACCCCGATGTGGAATGGCAACTGCTTTATAACTGATATATGCCTAGAGAATTCTAATTCTGGATGAAGAAAAACGAAAATCTAAGGTCCTATTTATAGGAGAAACTGAAAGCGTGAAATGACCGGGACGCCCCTCCACTAAAAAGTGGAGGTTATGAAGTTTTGCCTTGTGGCGCCCGCCACAAGGTCATGGCGCCCGCCATGGTCCCTACAGGGGATGATGGAGTGGGGATCGTGGGTCTTGGAGGTTGAGGAGTGGTCTTGAGACGTGGCCACGTCATGGCTAACCCCATGGCGCCCGCCACGGTGGGTGCCGCAAGTGCAAAGTGCTGAATTTCTAGGTTTTCGTCCGTTTTCACTCCTTTTTCGCTCCTTTTCCCGATTCAAGCTCCGATTATTATAAAAACCTGAAAACATAAGAAAACAAAGCAATAACAAAGCAAAACAACAATAAAAGCTAAGAATGCATGCGAAATCGGAGTCAGAAATACGGTGAATTTTAGTGTGATCAAATTCTCCCACACTTAAACCTTTGCTTGTCCTCAAGCAAACATTAAAGCTTAAGAAAATATGGTGTCAACACTTGTCTTTGGGCTAAAGGGATTCTAAGTTCAAGTCAGGATGCAGTGACAGATACTAACTAAGTGAACCAAGGGTACCATAGTAACACAAACACAAACTTCAATCCTATATTAACCACTCCATGTCATCCCACGATACCTAGGCCTATCTTCTCATCTTTTTGTGTCCTTTTCATTCAGGCGCAATCACATTAAGCCCGTTATCCGTACATGCTTCATAGTAGAGTGACCGGTTAGTGATTCTGATCCATAACATAAGGTTTCTGGCACATAAGCATGTGTAAACCTGTTTTTATTTCGCCTAAATGTAGCTGCGGGGGATCGGATCGTAATCCGCCCTACCAAGTTCAGTGCCAGATACCTCTGAACCAACTAACAATAGGTGACTTGCAATTTTTTTCTTTTTGTGGCAAAAATTTTTTCTTCTCTTTTTTCGGTTTAAATGACTTTGTGAGGGTCACCTATACCAGAGTTTGCCTTTTTTTCTTTTTTTTTTATTAGCACTGGATCATTCACTTATATTCATCGGCCCCCTACGTAGAGTATGCTTAGGCCGGAGCTGACTGCTAAAATAAACTACTTAGGACAATTTTTTGAATGATAGTAAAGGCCATGGTGGTGGGGTTTAGGAGTGATTCCTATATTCAAGAGGTCTATGGTGCTAAAATGGTTCTGATGTTTCAAAAAGTTGACCTAAGTCACCACATCCTAATCTAAACCTGTCTCAAAGCCCAAAAAACATGTGAAACAACATTGTTTTCTTTTTAAAAATTTTCTGGTAAGGCTAAGGAAATGGGAAAAAATGAAGATGAACTAAAAAGACACTATACTGGTGACTCGTCAGACTCATGCATTATCTAAGAAAAATAAATTACTGAAAAGGGAAATAACTGAAAGGAAATTAACTAAAAAGGGAAATAACAGAAAGCAATAAAATCCCCTCCCACACTTAAATCGAACATTGTCCCCAATGTTTTGAAATAAGATAAGGGGGGTAACCTGGAAAAAGACTACTGAGGAGGGGCACTGGTGCCTTCGCCGTCCTGATGTGATGGTCTGGAACGACGGGATCTACTACGATGCTGGTCCCTCCGGTCGAGTCGTGCTGATAAAGCAGCCTGAGCACTCCGGACCTCTCGAAGGTTACCCAAGATGGAACCCTGAGTAGCCTCTACAAGCTGGTAGTGTCGGCTGTTGAACTCTCTCTGACGGTTCTGCTCTAATGAAATATCGTTCAAGGTACGGCAAACGTTGCTATAAGCACGATCCGAAACCAATCGCGATTGTTGCATGAAGCTCATATTGTTCGTCAGCTGCTGTGAAATAGTAGAGAGAAGGCCATCACGCCTTTCTTCTCTAGCTGTCATATCACGCCACATCTCCTCGGTGACAAAGAATCCAGGAGCAGTACCTGCAACAGGGTTAGAGGAAGATGGTGCAGTGTGTGACTGTGAAGGACGATGGGGGGACATGTGAGGGATGGGAGACTGCTCTCTCCGATCATACTCATCATCAGTGTCATGTGCCTCCCCATCGGGAATATTAGGAGGAAGTGGACCCAAAACACGTGGAGCATTAAGATCATAGGTCCAGTTCCTTTCATCACGTACATCAGTACGTCTACTGCATGGTAAAGCAACAGATGGGATAGCTACCCCATGAACCATCAACTCATAACCACCTTCTCTCCTTGTTCGGCACAATTTCATGTCTTTCAGAAATTTTAAATTAATTGTGCGAGGAGGTAGTGGTTCAAGTGTAGCTATCT